GAGAACCACAAATCTTTAGTGATGAGGATTTCAAATGGAATTGTTCAGAGTATCAGTACCATTAAGTCTCACGACTGTTACCATGATTGTACAAAATCATTGTTAACTCGAGCTGAAACTTGACTCAAGATTGACACCCAGAGGCGAATTCCTTCAACTAAAATCTCTGCCTTTGTTTTTCCTGGAACTTTAAAAGATTTGAAACAACCAAATATATATTTCATTTATGCCAGCTTAAAATTCCCTGTAGTAGTGTAATGTGTCACTCATTTCATGGGCCATCAACACAGAAAGGCATGAATTACTTACTGCTTTATGTGATTAACTACCTTTCATGAACAAAAACAAAAACTTCAACTAGGCAGAACTGGGCCCTCTGGCTCTTTGCTCACACTGAAGGATCCACCTGACTCTTGATATCAAGTACCTTTCTATAAGCATAACAAAACTGTATCATCATTGCCCTACTGCACCTTTTTAGAGAAATCTTAGCTGTTTGCTTCGCATTCTTTTTTTATACCCTTAAATTGAAAGGGTATGAAGAACACAGTAGAGTTCCGTAAGTGTACCGACAGCATTTATACTTGTGCTGTTTTACCCATTTTAATGGGTGACAGAAGTGTCTTAATAAAATATACCCAACAGTATAAAAGAGTCGGAGACCTAGAATATTAAAAGTTCTGTAGCTTACAATTTAAACAGCCTTATTTCTATGAATTCATAGGATAACAAATTAGTTCCCCCCTTCCCCAGAGCACTATTAATTATTTATTATTGAACTGGCATATACTCCTTTAAAGTTCAGACCAATACAGCAGTACTTTTGTGACTTTTGAAAAAAGTCAAATTAATTTGTTGTCTATGCCTCAATACATGTTTTATAAATTCAATTCACAACTCTACTGTATAGAATCAGACATCAACAGCTGAATAAAGTACAAATCAAAACTGTTTAATCAGCAAGTCACAGGAAAATTTGTTATAGTACGAGACTCCTGTGCTCATGCTCTCCCTTCACATCCAAGGCAGGCAAGCTATTATGTTATTTTTGCTCACATGTATATTTAAAATGCTACACCCATGGATCACTTCTGCAATACACAAAGTAGGGGACACCACTGATTAAAAGGAAAAACACAAAATAACTACTACTTGCCCCCTGGAATCTGCGGTCTTTAAACTCCATTACAAATCTTATACGGTATCTTCATATTAGTGGCACAGCATTTTCACTCTCATTTCAAGTAGTAGAATTTTTTTTGTTTTCCTTGGAGGCAAGGACAGTGGTGAGTTGCTAGTGTTAGTTCTAATGCACTACTGCTACTGTACCTTTAGTGCATAGGTTGTCAACCAAGGGTGCATATAGCCCCAGGGATACTTGGCAAGGCCCTACAAGGTATGCACAGGTGTTCAGGAACACTCACCACCCCATGCCACTCTCTCTCAGGAGCAGGGCCAGGACACAGGACAGCCACTAACCATCAAGCTTTCCCCCTCCAAACAACAACTGAAAAGCACTATCTTGCTTTCCCCAAAGTTACTACTTCTAATGGCAAGTTAGCTGAAATAAAAGCCAACATATGGAACTGTCCAAATATTTGCCTTTTTAAAAGAGCCTTTAATTTTTTTCTAGTTCAATCTTGGAACAGCTTTGATGCATTTCAATTTACAAGATGTAATTACATACAGTAAATCAGTCTAGACATGTTCTTCAGACAGCTTCTGGGCTTTAGCAACAGCTTCTTCAATAGGACCAACCATATAAAAAGCCGGTTCTGGTAGGTGGTCATATTCACCTGTAACATACAATTTTGAACAAACTTGTTAAAAGGAATGATAAAATATGGCAATTGTCAGTCAGTTAAAGCAAAATGGCAACCAAGTTCGGGTGGGGGGGGGAAGAGGGGAAGGGGAGAAAGGCATTATACAACAGTGTTTTCTTTCATTTTTTTTTAAATAATTATATAGTGCATCTACACAAGAGGCCAACTGCACAGTAGCATATTGGTACTATCCATGCTGTGACGCGCTACTGCACAGTAGCATCACTAGTAGTGCATGCCTTTTTATGCAATAACCAGAGCATTTTAGTACTTGATTATACACGTACTAAATTATATGCACAGTAACCATTATGCATTAACAAACATGTAGATGTGCCCATACCATTTAAAAGAAAAAAGAAGGATAAAACCCTGAACTATGTGATCACTATTTACAACTCACTAACACTAATGTAACAAACAGAAGTGATAAAGCTTTTTCCTCGCTAGACTAAACAGAATACAGAAGGGAAGCAGCACAATAGTAAGCATCAGAAACTCTGCATTAAGAGTGGCCTTGATTGCTTTGGAAGAGATGCTAGAAAGGTCTTTCTAACTTTGCTGTCACTCTAAAAACCACACTTCTGTACCACACAGCCGACAGCTTGCCCCTTTATTCAGCACCTCTACACAAGGTTGTTATAATCTGTTTTGGTTACAGTGCAGGAAAAGTTTTAAAAAGTTGCCTGAAGTCACTCATTTAGTGACACTAATTGATGGGTAGCATTCCTTGGACAGAGTGCTACCAGATAAAGGCTCCTTAAAAAAAAAAAAAATCTAGGCAAGCATGTTGTTTAGGAGACATCCTTGCTGCACAAAGTTTGATTTTTTTTTTTATTCTTCAGAATTTTTTTTTTAAAAAGGCTTAAAAGCAGACAGACTGGTATGGAGGCAAGAGAACAGGTCCATGAAGTTATCTATCAGTTGCAGAAAACCCTTCCATTATGGGACAAAGTCCAAAGGCAGAGAAAGTTTGCCTTTGTTTCACTTGTCCCATCCACCCCTCCTAACTCGAGTTGCATGTACAGGGCATTATCCTTTGGCTAGCAGGGAAACTAACAAAGCCTTCCTAAAGGACAAACATATTCACACTTTTTTTTGTTCCCATCTGCTTGGCATATACTTAAACTCAACACTCAAGTTTGAGTTTGGTAGAAGAGACAGTCGAGAAGAACAAGCAGAAGTGCCAGGGAGTTGGGGAAAAACAGAAGTACCACCAGGACAAAGTCTGAAGGGCACAGAAATCTTGAAATTGTATAGCTTTGTCACATGATTTTGCTCTACGGAATTACAACTATGCACCCTTTCATAAATACAAATCTACATTCAATTAAAGCCACTACTGCAGACCTTCCTCACAAGAGTTATCTAAAGGGCTGTATAACTGCATCTCACAACACTGGCTATGTAGACACTTGTACAGGTAGTCTTTTTATAGCCAGTAGATCCCGTCATGAAAGTATAGATTACTCGGCCATCTAATATCAGAGAGAGACCAGAGAATATACCTAAGTTTGGCAATACCTATAGCAACAATGTGGTTTGTTCTATAGCTACTGGAGGATGAGCTAAAGTATGCCAAACAAGGGAAGGCAAGAAGCTTCTGACTATCCTCTCCTTGCATCACAAAGCAGGGAAGGCTCTATGAAGAACGGCATGAAAAAGTCATCTAAGGACAGGTTAAGCATCTGAAGTTGCATTTCTACCTCACCAATATGCTACCTAGCTTCTGCAAGACTGGAAATAATAAAAGGCATTGCCCAACTACTTTCAACACTTCTTCCCCCATTCTTAAAGTTGTAGACTTCAAGGCAGGAGGTTTGGCATCATGTATATATAGCTCTTAGCACAAACGCTTAGAAATAGGTGGTCGTTAGCCCCACTTATTTCTATATACATATATGCATGTCTTTGAAACAGGGTGGGCAATTGTTAAAACAGCCCTCCCAGCCAAAATAAGTTTTGGCAAGCTGTCAAGGGCCGCAAGCACAGCCCCACCCCTCAGCAGGTGCCTCACCCCCTGGTAACCATCTTGGGACCAGAAGTCCCACCCCTAACCCCTGACCTTTGCCACCAGAAGCCCCTCCCTTTACCCCAGAAGTACCCCTTTTGGGAGGCAGGGGATTGGGGGGGGGGGAAGATTTGCCATCTTGAAACTGGTAAAACAAATCATACTTAAAAACAAAACACCAAAAAAATGCACATCTACTATAATCCATCTAGGAGGTGATTGCGTAATTGCTCAAAACAGAGTCTTACTCCGTACAGGGTGTATGGGTAGGGTTGCCAACTGAGTGAGGCTATTGTGGGAGGAGGCAGCCCCGCTCCCTGCAGCTAGGGCAGGGCAGGCCAGACTGGGGGAGGAGAGGGGTTGCTTGGCAACCAGAGTTGCACCTTCTGCATGCAGGCAGTAGAGGGGCAGTCCAGGGCCAGGGCTTTTGGACAGCTTATGGAAGGATCCCGCGGGCCGGATGGAATTGCCTGGCAGGCTGGATCTGGCCCACGGGCTATATTTTGCCTTCCTCTGCTTTGAAGAAAGGCTAAATTGGTTACAATTTTAATGCAGGCATTTGGATCCCAATATGGTCTGCAGATCCAAGGGTCAAAAGCTCAACATGGCCAAAAAAAGGTAAACTCCAAAATAAGGCTATGAAACTCAGGAAAGAAAAATCAGGCCCGTTAAAAGACAAGTCTCTTTACCAGATAAAATGCTCTTGAATCCCTTGATTGTTTCTTTTAGAGGTACCAGTTTTCCATCATGGCCTGTGAAGACTTCAGCAACCTGGAAAGGCTGCGACAAGAATCTCTGGATTTTTCGGGCCCGGGCTACAGTTAATTTGTCTTCCTCGGACAGTTCATCCATTCCCAAAATAGCAATTATATCTTGAAGCGATTTGTAATCCTATTATGGGGAAGACGATTTAAGTTAAGTAATCCCTCAAGCCACATGCAAATGTTAACACTATACCTTATTCAAAAGGCCAGCTCTCAAAATTCAGTTTTGTAAATCTGAAGAGACTCAGACCCTAGTTTGAACTAGATTTTTTGGGAAACAAAGTTGTTATACCTGAAGAATCTTCTGAACACCCCGAGCCACATCATAATGCTCTTGGCCCACAATGTTAGGGTCCATAATACGTGAAGTGGAATCCAGAGGATCTACAGCTGGATAGATACCCAGTTCTGCAATTGCACGGGATAATACTGTGGTAGCATCCAAGTGTGCAAAAGTAGTAGCTGGAGCAGGATCAGTCAAGTCATCAGCCGGTACATAAATAGCCTAAAATGAGAACCCAGTTTTAAAATTAAGCCACTAATTATTCATCATTCCTCAGACATGCCTACTATGCACTGCCATCTAATAGCAACAGTGAATTCTATTGGAAGACAGACACTACTTAATACCATACCTGTACAGATGTAATGGATCCTTTTTTTGTAGTAGTTATTCTTTCCTGCATTGTGCCCATGTCAGTAGCCAATGTTGGCTGGTAGCCTACAGCAGAGGGGATACGACCCAGAAGTGCAGATACCTGGAGATCAAGAGCAGATACCTGGAGATCAAGAGGAGCTTATACCAAGTTAACTAACCTGAATAGTTTGTTCTGGGAATTCCTGACAGAGAAGTGCTATCTTATCAGTAGGGACCTACCAAAATTGTGATTTTGTAATCTGGCACTGTCTACAAGATCTGCTGGAGGGGGTGGGGAAACAACAGCTTACTGAAAATAAACTACTGACTCCACAGAGAGAGCCAGTAGTCCTAAAGGGTGCTATGGTGGCCCACCAGGGCAAGGAATGGGGGGGGCAGGGGGAAGGAAGATCTGCCTACTCAAAAGGGCTGTTGGCAAGATGGCTGCCACCTCCCAGTCCTCATTGGCTGTGAAGGCTGCCTGTAATATGGTCCCAACCCTCTCCACCAATTGGCACAGATGCATGACAAGAACCCCTTGTAGCCAAATCAGCAGTGAAAGGCAGGGCCACTGATGCCCCTCAGCTGGAGGTGTGTGGGGCCCACTGCACTCTACCTGCAAAGTGGCTGCCAAGCCCCATGTTTTGTGAATGAAATCAGGGGTAGCTGCCCCAATTTTGTTAAGTCCCCATTTACCAGGGTGTCTCATGCCCTCTATGCTCCCCATGGAGTAAAAAAGTAAATGGTTAAGAGTTTTGCTCCCAGTCTTTACCCCTCTTTGAATGGGAAGTAAAAGCCAGTTCAGAATGGGCTACCAGGCAGTCAGCATCCTGCTCTCACACTACCAGCAAGGGACTGGCTTTCTACTCCACCTCAGTGTTACCAATCTGGCCATATTAGGCACAAACCAGAGGCTTATGCATACTAAATAGTCACCCACTTTTAGCGGCAATTTCTAGTCACCACCTTTTGATGACATTTAAAATAAGATCCAATAAAAACTGAAGCTGCTACACACCTCTTACTAAAATAGAAAGTACATCCCCTCCCACCCCCACATCCCAACTACATCCAGGACCTGGAGAAATCAATCAGGTCTCAGTCTTCTAATAAGGGCACGCATACTCCTTCATTCCTTCTGCATCCACAAACATCAATCTAAAATTGTGTACCTTTTGTGTCTTCAACCGAAGGAAGACTGCAACAATGATACCAGCCAAGGACCTGGCTGGCTAAAAGTATCAGTCACTGTCCAGTAAACCCAATACCATAGGCTTGGGGACAACCAATCAGCAGCTCACCCAAAGGCTGCCCTGGATGGAGTGCTCCATCTCTTCAGTGGATGACTGAGCCTATAAAATTATAGGGCGTGTGTAGACAATACAGGCGTTAAATATAGAGCGCCTGAAAATTTTAATACAGTTTTTTTTTGGTGTGGTGTCAAATTAAACCAGTTAAGTTAAAGCAGTTTAGTTCACAAATGGGTATAGAAGCAGGTAGTTAGATCAGTTTAGCTGATGCATGCCCGAGTGATGGAATTCCCTAAATAAATATAAACAAACCATCCCATCATCTTCAACAGTTATCCCAGGGCTGGGACTAGTCATCTTGGTTTCTTGCAACAGGGTATCACTATTCTGTCCCTCTCCATTCCTTATTCAAGGCTTCATTTTATCCTATATCTCAACCTTTTGGTTCTGGTGGCACACTTACCAGGCCTCTCATCCCACAGCGCAGTAGGCTGATGTGGAGCGGAGGCGGGGGCGCACAGCAGAATACATCGCGCAGAAAATGAAAAAAAAAGAGCCACTGGCTGGAGCCATGCCCCTGTCTGTGTCTGCTGTGGCAGCAGCAGGTGGGGATGCGGCTCCAGGCCAAAATTCAGCAGCACACCAGTGTGCTGTGGCACACTGGTTGGGAAATGCTGCTATACCCTACTCATTTTCACAGAGGTTAGTACCAAATGAAAACAAAGTAGTAAAAAGAAAGGAGTCTACACAATTAGATTATAAAGCCTTACAGCATATCCTTTCCCCTGAAGCCTTTCAGAAGCTGAGCACTTCATTTGAAAGCAAGCCCCAAACAGTTTCTATATTTTGCTCAAATGGGATAAGTTATACCAGCTCATTGCTCCTGTTATTGCCAGGGCTAGTTTTAGGAGTTATGCCTGATCTTCTGATCCTGAAGAGTTGATGCATTCTAAAGTTATTTAACTGGCCTACACTTAAGAGTTCTAATGAGAGCACATGTTAAAAGGCTTTTACTTTTCCCCTTGAAGCTACAGTGCTTGTACAGGTCAAGACTGCTACACCCTTCCTTCCAGACCATTCTCAAAAAAGGAATGATTTGCTTAAAAATTAGGATTATGTTTTCCCTATGATTTCTCAAAAAAAGTTCAGTTTTGGAAATCCAAGATTTAAAAGCAAATCTGAATATGAACACTAATTTAAGATGAAGAGTAGATATTAATGTAGAACCTTAAAGGCTTTTTGGGATATAAAATAGAAATGGCTAATATTTGGACTTAAATGCACCATTCAAAATCTTGGCATGAAGTAATGGTTATTTTTGTTTAGCATACCAGATACCTAAGACTCCATTTTTCAAATTAGTATTACTGCAATCTCAAGTTACTCTGATATTCCACAAAGCTGATTAAGTGCACAGATTAGTTTTGCAGCACCCTGTAGTGCTGTACATGAAGTGTATATACATTCACACTGTTTGCAATTCAACAAAGATGGTAGATCAGCCACAAAAATCCCATATTAAACAAGAACCTTGTAGCACCATCCCTACACGCAGACAATTACAGTTAACATGTAGTGTCAGAAGGGTGCCTCTGATCCCTGGCATCCGGGACTATACTGTGCTCCCAGGGGGAGCAGCACTGGTGGTACCAAAGAGGGCTACATTTGTAACACTATAAACAGACACAAGCACACAGCCTCTGTTAGGCTACAGGTCCTCTGTAGGAGTCTTTATACCAAGAAAGGAAAAACAGTACTAACCTCTGAACCAGCTTGGGTAAACCTGAAGATATTGTCTATGAAGAGAAGCACATTCTGTCCTTCCTGATCACGAAAATATTCAGCAAGTCAGGCCAGTCAAGGCTACTCTGGCCCGAGCTCCTGGAGGTTCATTCATTTGACCATACACAAGAGCAACCTAGAACGTTACAAAAGTAAGCAGTTAATCTACAATGTTTTCTATACACATGTGCTACATAGCAAGATACTATACATAATGCCTCCATGCTGAAGGATCTATATATGAAGGCCAATAAACTAAAGATTGTACAGCATGAGTCACTGTAAGCTATTCACTTTTAAAAATAAATTCAGACAGACTTGGAGGGCCCTACAAATTTGGGGGAAAAAAAGTAAAAAAAAAAAAAAAAGTTACTTAGGCCTGCACAAACAGACACCACCCTTAGAAAGGGGGTTACATCAGCACAAAAATGCAAGTGTGCAGATATCTTTGCCACTTGTACAACAATATCTGGCCGCACCATTGCATCTTATTGTGGAGGATGTCTGTATGCTTACAGCATGACAATCCCCAAGGCTGGCAAACTGGTTTGTCCTCCTGCACTCAGGCACTCTTGACAGCCTCTTTAAAAGGAGCAACATGTGGACATGACAGACATCTTCTCCAACGCAGGACACTGTGGCACAACCAGTGCTACAACTATGATGTCTATTTATAGCTCAAGATTTCCAGCTGGACTCTATGGGCCAGTCTTGCTACAGAAGTAAAAAAAAAAAGTTTGCATGGGTATGCAAATCAGATCACTATAGTACAAATAAAGTGAGATTTGAGGAAACACTTGAAGACAGTAAGCTGTTAAATCTAAGGCCTACCCATAATACTTAAGCACTTGCTCCTTTTAAATATTACCTTGGACGTGTCTTCTTTTAAACTGATGACACCAGATTCAATCATTTCATTATACAAGTCATTACCCTCTCGGGTACGTTCCCCCACACCAGCAAAGACTGAATAACCGCCATGGGCTTTTGCCACATTGTTGATAAGTTCCATAATCAGCACTGTTTTTCCTACACCTGCACCACCAAAGAGCCCTGAAACAAGACAGTTTATCATTGTAGTTAGAGATTACAGTTCCTTTGAAAACTAACACAGTTGTATCAACCTACTGACCCCTCTCCTCAACCCTTCACTGTTATCCTTAAATTGAGGTAGTAGTATAGGGGTATGGGTCTAATACATTTAAGCCACAGAGCAAGACTACATTTAAAGATTTAAGGAAAAAACCAAAAACAAAACAAAATCTGATAGTTTCATTTTTTCTTCCTCAAGAGGAGCAATGGTGCAACTCTCCTACATCCTTCGGATTAATTTGCATTATAGCCATTCAGTTCTGAAGAGAAACTTACCGATTTTGCCTCCTTTGGCATATGGAGCCAGTAAGTCTACAACCTTAATGCCAGTCACAAGGATTTCTTGCTCCACACTCATATCTTGGAATTCAGGAGCCTCAGCATGAATAGCTGCAAATCTGTGGAGAAATTATTGCAATAAGAACAAATACACAATATTAAGTATTTTAATGTTTCCTGGAACTGATAAATTAAAGATTGATTTAATTCAGATCTATATAATTCCCATACCTCAAAAATAAAATGGCTTTTAGGCTAACCATTGTTGAGCTGCTTTTCTAAGTGCTTTGTTAATTTAACTTGGGTAGTACTGATATGACAATAATTTAAACTTGCGAAGACATTCAGCAGTTCAAGTGTTTTCCAAATCCCAAAATAAAGGGCGTTTTTTATTGCACTAAGGCTCAAATTCCTAACGTGGAATAACACTTAAGTGCCATTCTATTTCACCTGGTTTAAGTCTACATTGCAACCTATTTTAATAAATAGTCACCTTACCCTTAAGAAAGATTCACAGTGAAGTGAGGACTACCCACGCACCTTTTGTAATAACAGTTTTTTCATATCCTCTAGCAAAAAGAATAGTGCACTTTTGTTGCACAATAGATGCTTATATCATACAAACAAACTGTAATGTGCCAACTGCACACCTATTAAAAGTTGCCAGGTACTTCCACACCACAAAAAGTTACGGTTCAATAAGCAACCGTGTGGTTGATATGCCAGGGATCAACTGGTTTTGTGTGGCATGTTATGACCGTCACCTAATACATATAACATGTAACAAAATGCAATCTCTGTCAGGTACCATAAAGACCACAACAGGTAAGAGTGTTTTTGAAGTTATGAATTTTATTGTAAATCTCTGGGTTTCCTGCAACTGTCACCTAAGTGTTACTTTTGTCACCTAAAGAATAGCAACTTCACAGCATCTTTAAAAGGATCTTATGGCACCCTATAGTACCTCATTATCCTGGTTGAGAATCACTTATTTAGATGCAAGAGGGCATTTTAAAGTTTGCACTACATTATATATCCTGTTTCCTTACAGGTGGAAAGAGCCCTCCCTGCCCCCCCTTTCAGCACTGATCCAGCCTGCTAAAGGCCAATTCCCACCTCCCGGGGCAGTGAAGTCTTCACCTTTACAACAGAAACACTTGTCAGTTCCCCTACACATGATGGAGATATGAAAGCTCAAAGTACTGGCTTTGAGACCATCTGAAACAGATGACGTCAAAGCCAAACTCCCACTCCAACTACCTGGGCTATAAACCTAGGGCAAAAATTTACAGTCAAAGTGTAGCTGAAATGCAACTATAACATTTCCAGTTTATGTTCAGCTTGTTTGAGGAAGCCGTGCTGGCAGGAAGGGGCCAATCTGGGGATGGTGGAGAGATCCAAGTATTTAGGGTGATTGAAGGTTTTAATTGGGACATTAGCACCTCCACAGCCTTAGATTGCTCATTGCTGATCTTTGGGTTTAATATCAAAGACAAACCACTTCAATTATTTGCACAATTGCTCATTTCATAGCCCCTCTAAGTTACCCCAGCTTTTACAAACAGGCAGAGGTAGGAGAAGTTAAGGTGAATATATCTACTAATTCTAGGTGTCTAGAAGTGAACACCCAAGACAACTGTAGAGCCTTTGGCATAGCACAACTCTCACTCAGTCAACTACAAAACGAGAATATTGAACAAGCTTTAGTCAAAGTGGCCCCACCACCATTTTGAAACACAGGATGCTGAATATGAGACACTGTGGGCATTTTAATTAGAGCAGCTCGTGGTTTAAAAAAAAAAAAAAAAAAAAAAAAAAAACCCCCCCC